TTCAATCGTGGACTGAGAATGAGACAGGAGAAACAAAGAAGAGTATGAGTAATTCATATTTTTGAAAAACCGTTATGCTAGTTGATTTGTGGATGAACATCAAGAAATCTGGTTCATGAAAACTAAGTAGCTGCTGCGAAAGTGAACTACTGACGGTAAACAAACGTTATACTATTATTAGACAAATTAAATGTTGCTTTAATAAATTATAACTGTTAACATCCTTTGATCAGACAGCTGCCTGCGTTTAGACTTGATTAATTTTCACCTAAACCTTTATCTTCTTTTCAAAAGTTTAGTATCTTACGTTTAAAACTCTGCTAATTAATCATAGCATTGTTTTTGCTGTTTCCTTCAAAGCCCTCTGAAATATTTCAATAGTTTTACAATATACGATCTACATCGTTGTGTTAAAGGCCTTAGTTATTTATAGTTGGATAGACAATTGAAGGTAAACTGAACAAACGACAGTGGGTAACTTTTCTTAATAGTTTGCTGAGTTTTTTATCTGTTTTCCCTTATTTTTTTTCTTTTTTGCAAACACTTATTTTTTTCTCACTTTTGCCTTTTTTCTTTTCTTTTTTCATACATTTAAACTTTCATTTAAGAATCAATTCGAGAATGTTCAATGCCTTTAGTTGACAGTAGTTGAGGCTAATAAAAAAATTCCATTTTTGAATGGCGCTTTGTTCATTTATCATCAAAATGACATTTGTCTTTTGATTATTAAAATCACAATTTGAAAAGCCTTTTTAGAAATTACCGACCGAAATATAAATTTACAAATTTCAAAGTAAGCTTGAAAACTGTTTTTCGTGATTAAGGTTTTGTAGTTAGTAATCAGATTTGTCTTAACTATAGAAGAAGAGAGAGAAAAAGAAGAGGGAAAAAGAACAACTACATCAATAATCAAAAATAACATAATTTTGTTGAGGTTAACTTTTCTGCCTATTATTATGGTACTGATTATAGCGCAATCAAATTTTAATTAAAATAAAGTAACGGTTAGAAGAAACTGTACATGTGTGGGGTGTTCGTAAAATCTTGCTAAAATTTTCGCATTTTCTTTTTCTTTACAAAGCCATACAAATAGGCGAATAAAAAAATTCAGTGTGCCAGAACTGTCAAATTCTGCTCATCTAGAAGTCCTGCGGCTTGTTTTAGAAAACTTCGACAGTTCATGCCTTTAATGAATAAGTCAACTTCTTAAAAATCAAAAAACTGTAACTTTTAATCATTTTAGAGTACAAAGGTCTGGTAATCTTTGGTACTTTCATGTCAACCGTTCAGCTAAGGACTCTTCCTTAAGACTTCACCGCACTCAAAAGACCTAATTTAAGGTGAGCGAAAGAGTTTGAAAGCGATACGGTAACTAAAAAACTGCGTTTCCAGATAAGACAACGTGCTCCTCAACTTCTTAAAAAACAGTGTTTGAATTCAGGAATAGCAGAACAATCGCTGTAACATGTCGAAAATGGCTCAGTAACAACACGTTTATCATGCCTTTTTAAGATAAAATTCAGAAAATTTAATCAATGAAAGTGAGTGCCAGAAATTTCTATTTTTTTGTTTTGAAAAATACACTTAATAACCTTTAAGTTGTTAGTCGCTGAAGCAGTGCTGAAAAAAAGGTAATAACTAAGATATTTCTGCTTTTGCCGAAGCCTCAGTCGTTCTTCAAAAAATTTTTATACTAAGGCAGATACGGTTACAAAAAATAGCTTTTGAAAAATTTTTTTATTTGCTAACTCGTATTGAAAAAAACCAAAAAACAGAGCGGCTTATGCAGCTACAATCCGAAAATTTGTCGTATTTTTGCTCCATGTGCGAAAAGAAAAAACCACTGCTTACACATTACCAGTTAGCTGTCCACTCCAAACAGTTGTTGAAGAAAAACGCAGCGACGTGATAAAATTACGAAATTTTTTAATCGGACGTAGCAAATATTACAATAACGATATAGTTGCGAGGACAACAGCTATCGTACTGTCTGTCTTTGCTTTGCAAATTTGAACAGGAATCAAATTAAGGTTTTCACGTAATTTATAATGGTGAGATCAGTCAGGTAATTAAAACCATATTTTTAAAGTCATCAACGCCACTGTTTAATGCATTCAAAGCACAGCAGTACTCAATAATTAGTCAGCAATACTTACGTAATTATTGCTTTTAATTCGAATATAAGTGGAAAATCAGAATATAGATATCAAATTAAATGATTAAGTAATGGTAACAATAATGCCTTACCTTTTTTTTGAGCGATCACCGAATTCATAATTTATGCACTTTTTAAATTTATGAAGGATTTAGATTCTTAGTGGCCTAAGACTACACTAATCTATGGCTCTTCAAATCTTGAGGAACGTCCTTCACTTGGGTCTACATAAGTACATAATCAATGTTTTGGAAAGAAGAAAATGGTCACCATTACCATTTCCAATGTAAGATGCTGTCGAATCTTCTTCGGCGTAACAAATGCTAATAAATTCTGTTTCATAATTGGGTAAATAAACTTTCCTTACTCGCTATAGCGTAGCAAAATCTGCGTCAGTAATTTCAATTTGAAGATTTGTGAACCTCATACTTAGACGGCAAATCGTCAGCAAACATTATTTGGGCCTAGCATTACAGAATCGTTCCTCTGAATTCTAAGGTTCTTCTCAACAAATTTGAATTTTAAATTTTGCTTTTTCTTAACAATTGATTGCTTTAATGCACCTGGTACATTTGAGATGCTTCTGTTCCAGAAGTATTATGAAATATGACGAAGAGCTTGGCAATAAATAAATAAATATATATTCCATGCTAAGTCGCACACTTTTTTCAGTCGACCTCTCAGATTTTTTTCATTTTTTGCCTATTCGTAACACCTGATACCAGACTGCGAAATCAAAAGAAGGTTAACTCAAAAAGTGCGTTGGCGGCAGAGTTAGACCGCTCTAAAGTGCTAAAAAAAAGGCAGTTTTTGCTATATATGGTCACTTTTAAGAACTTCTAGTTTTTTTTGTTCGTATTGAATTTTTCTGATTTTTACTTCTTTGAGAGATTATCTCCTGCAAATTCAGATAAACGGTGTAGTGAAAATACTAACAAATTTTGTAAAGAATTAGAATAAAAACAAAAAATTAAAACTTTCCTTGCAAAAAAATGAATGACATTTCAAATTTTTCAAAAAAATATATTATTTGAAAGCATGGTTTTTGCACAAAATATTAAAGTTGTAAAATGGAATCTTTATGGTATATAAAGTTACAGCACGATGGGTGACAGTGGACTGCAAGAAATCCCCAACTCATACAGCATTTCGGCGCCTATGCGAGTGATAGGTCTCTTGTTTCAACTAAAATACTGACATAATACCAAATATTTTTACTAAATATGACAATATACGTAATTTGTTAAAACGTCTCAATGATTTTCAAGTTCAGAATAGGTAATTGGTTTTCAACTTTTTAACTTTTAATTAATTTAAAAAAGTTTATTTGGAAAAAATTATTATTATGATTGCTTTTTCGACTTTTACCACTTTGCTTCCTCACTGAACTCTTTTGACCAAAGTATTTCAAATGCAGTGCTGATTCCTGAGTGTGAATATTGCTTTGCAATCTTTTTGGTAATGCACTGGGATTTTTGTGTGCCTTTGACTGGTGAGCTCACACGTGTTGCTAAAAGAGTCTTTTTTCTATAATACCGTTGCAAGAATACCACGGATATTTCGGCCAGTTCTCTGCTGAGTCGCGAAGATCGGTATCAGTTAAAACTTCCTCGGAATATATTTTCTACAAACTGGCTCGCGATGTTAGTCTTTTCAGTGTACCTCCAATGCCGTCACAGGGACATTTTCCAAGTAACGTTGCTAAAAAGTGCCACTCTACTTCGACTCCAAAATCCACGAAGTCAAAAATAAGATTTTGAAAGTTTTTCCAGTTTTTGTTCTGTGATATAGCACCGTCTGAAAAATAGAGAATTTCCTTTGAGTCGCATTTTTTCTTCAAAAATACAACATTACAACGAGACTGCAAAAAGCAGTGGAAGTTATAGAATTTTCTTTAAAATATATTGGAAACGGATAAATTGTCGGTTGTGTATTTATCCAGCGGTATCACTGTGTGGCATCTTAAGCCACTACTGCGTAGTTTTCAGAGAAGTCACAAATGAGGTACCAAAAAAATTCTTTTTCTCTTCTGAAATTTGCTGTGATTTTAAACAGTGAATGGAAGTTTTAGTAAACTAGGAACGTGAGCAGAAAAATTTTCTTTAAACCCTTCAGCAGATTGTATCACAGTAACCAAGATGCATCGATTTGTCCACTGCTTATATTAAGTGTCAGCAATAGCGTTCTTATCCAAAGCTGCTTTTAATACATCAGTCACTTTCTGCAAATCTGGACGCAAGAAACATTGGCTCAAAAAACACTTTTTTCTGCTTTTTTGCAGATAAACTTGTAATTAAGTAATATCCTTGTAATTGTTGATGTAACTGCTTGAGTCCTTTGTGATCGTACTCAAACATGCCTCTCCAACCATAACTTCCGTATTTCGGTGAGTAGCGCAGACACACAATGGATCAGTAGCAGAGGCTCCTAGAAGAACATAATTTGTAGGTCTTAGCAAAGCAAACTTTAAGAAACCTATCATCAAATTTGGTCCCGCTTCCTAGTTTGAATTACAGGCTTCTTTTAAAGTGCACAGAATAAGACGTTTTTGGGCCTGTTTCTTCTCTCCAACTTCTCTGACGGTTGCATAATTCTTTTTTTATCGCATCAGTCTAATGATTTTGTCACAGCGGAAAAAATGTACCACTCTTTCAGTAGCTTTTGCAGATAACGCCCTTCTTTGTCGTGGATTAGAAGTTATTAAACTTTTGCTGGATGGAGGGACAAATTTTTTTGAATTGACGAAGCCACTCCTCTACCCCACCTGCACTCGTCTCTTCCTCCATTCGGAGTAGATTGGTTCTTAGCGCGCTCTGGATTTTAGCAAACTTCTTTCGTGAGTAGCTTTTCTGGCTTAAAAATCGTCGTTTAGTCGGAATTTTTCCGATTGTTGCGAGACTGTCATTGATTTCTGCAGCAGACGTATTGGGGCTAACCTGCATACATGCGATTCGGAAAACAGTGCATTAAGCGTGAAGACTATAGGCCTGTACAGTAGGCCTCTACGGTGAAGGAAGGTTTTAGACGGTTTCTTTCTTTTTTTGACCAACTTTCAGTCATAACCTTACAGGTGTTTTAATTTTTGGCATTGCCAGCCAATCCAGAAAACTTTCAATTGATCCACGTAGAAACAACTCGTAAAATACCCATTTAGTCAGTATGGCCATGCTGGTTCGCTGGGTTAGAAGAGCGAATAATGGATAATGCGAATTTTTGTGAACTCACGCTTTACGAAACTTGAACAAATCAATAAAAGACAGGGGTGTTTTTTTATTGTCATTCCTGTTATGCTTTTTTTCCACTTCTGCCTCTATAACAGTTGCTGGGAGCTTTTGCTGGATCTTTCCACCACAAGCTTTCCTTTGATCATGTCCAATGTGATCAAACTTTTTGTTGCTTCAGAACCTCCATCAAAGATTTATCTTAGCAGAAAGGTGCAGAAGTCGCACAACGCTGGGACACTTATTGCAAAACAATATGCACACTTAGGGAGCAAACCGTGTGTAAAACTTTTGAGTCAGAAGAGTTTAATAAAGAAGCGAAGTCATGCAAATTGAAAAAGTAATCATGATAATAATTTTTTCAAGAGAACTTTTCCAAATTAATTTAAAGTCAAAAATTTAAAACCATCTGCCTGTTATTGAAGTTATAGAACTAAATTTTGTATATTATCATGTTTGGCAAAATTTCAGTTGAAACAGGAACCCTATCACTCGCGTAGGCGCTGAAATGATGAGCTAGTTGGAGATTTCTTGCAGTCTACCGTCACCAATCGTACTGTAACTCTTGATATCATAAAGGTACTGCTTTCCAATTTTAATATGTTGTGCAAAAATTATGCCTTTGAAAAATATATCTTTCTTCTAGAAGGGCAATTTGAATGGGTGTAGTTTGTAAGTAGTAAGTCGCCAAGTTGCTGTTACTTTCAAGAAAAATTATCTGGCGGTAACTTCTAAATTTCTGGTAGATTTTTTATCTTTTGTGGTTTTCAGTTTTTTCTTTTCTTGCGCACTATTATTTCGCTAATACTTCTCTTAAATTGCTGTCAACGTTACTCTATAAAAGTGCGAACTACAAAAATATGTCGGTTCGGAATACTACTGTCGCGACTTTCAAGTGACTTGTTGTAAGTTGCGGACGTTTTTGATTTTCTTTCCTTGTTTACTTTTTTTCTTCTTTTATTTTGTCAAATACTTTCAAATGCAGTGCTGGTTGCGTCTGATGTAGGACTTGGACAATAGTGGAATTTTGGTGAATGGCGCCCTTATTTGGAGTTTTGCAAGGTACATAAAATTTTGATTCTGCAAGCTGTTTATTAACGCTTAAGAGAGAAACGGGATGATCTCTTTCATTTTTCTTCTTTTTTTTGTCGTTTAAAGATAAATTTGTGTCAGCCGATTGACATGGTTAAATGCCCTGACGTTATCCGTGTACATGGTGTACGAGATGACAGCCGGAAAAATGCTTACGCTGCAATGTACTTAAATAGTTCGGTGCACTGTACAAAGTTGGCAAAAGAGTGGTTTTTTGATAAGTTGTTGATTCGAAGAAGATTGTATTTTTCTGGTTCTCAAGCGACTACAACTACTTCTTTCCTTTGGAGATGTTTCGCAATTAAGTAGTGGACTCCGCATTCACTGCAGCGGGAAGCTAATGCTACGTTGATGACGAGTTCTTCGCACATTGAAGAAGAGGATAACTTTCTGGCAACAGTCGTGCGCACTAAAGTTGCGCTGTAGTTCTGTATAGTTTTTGGCCACCAATAAGCATATTCAGTCTTCCAAAGTGTTGTTAGTCGAATTAGCCAAACTGCGAAAGAAATAACAGGTTGTTGCAGAATATAAAAAAGTTTGTATCGTAACTCTATTGAATAGACATGGATTTGAAGGCTTCCTCTTGTTTTTTGATGACCCACTTCCTGCATCAACCAAAAGCTGATTAGCTGGTCATTTTTAAAGCAATTTCCGAACAATATTACTAAAGGAAAACGTCAAGAAGTTTGTTCAAAAATTAAGCCTTGAAGTTTTTTTTGGAATTATTTTATAATGTGCGGAATTCCTGAATGTCATTTTCGCAGAATTGGAAATCACTGAGTGAAGAATAGGCCAAAGCGGCAGTACTTCTTATATCCCAGGTCACTTTGAAAGTTGCTGCTATTGTGATTTCTGCGCCGTTAAATCATTCAAATGTTCCAAAAGAGAGGGATTTGCTACAGCAAATTGAATTTCTCAGAAATGTAATGAATGTATCAGGAAGTTTGGAGCTTTCACGCATTTTTTGCTCGGTAATCTGCAAATCTGTAAAGGCCTCATCTTGAAATTTGATGCATTATAAAAGTGGCATTCAGGATAGAAATTTTAAAAATTGTTTCCACATATAATTTCAAATTTTGTTTTAACCGTTTCTGCTTGGAACTGTCTTCAAATAAACAATTTAATTTATTCCAGCAGAAGGAAAAATGCCATATCAAACGTGTTATTGAATCACAGCTCGCATTACAGAAGTTTCAGAAAAGCTCAAAGGATGAGTCAAGAGTGCAGTGCGGAAAAAAGTAGTAATTACATTTTTTGTGACATTTGGTGCTCAAGTAAGAGTTGCTGGAAAATTACAGTTATTTTTCTGTAAAATTCCATGAAAATTTTCACACTATGAAAACGTTATTTGATTCACTGCCGCTTTCTTAAATGCATAAATCACCACGGTTTTTTCGTCGCAGAAATTGGGTGTTTTTAATTTTAAAAAAGGAACACAGGGATCTTGAATATATCTGGTAATTCTGAAGGCAGCATAACTAGTAGTGCATCTATCACTAATTTTGTAAAACGACAGCAAAAGTTCACGAGATGACAATTACGCTTCAAGAGTAAATTCTTGGCGTCAAAACGGGGAACTATACTACCATCTATTCCTTAAGCAGTCCAATTGCACTGTTATTTTTTAGGTTAGAAATCCTAAATTGGTGTTGAACGGTTAAACATTTTGAAGGTAATCTCTCCTACTTTCAACTGAAACAAACAAAAGATAAATTCATCTGTCTAGATAAAACTGCATCAAGAAAAGCAGAGAGGAAAAGGAGAAGAAGAGAAAGGGACTGGTAACAATAAAAACAGTGTTAGACGTTATTTGGAGACTGCAATGTGAACCACCAAGAAACAGCGTGGCAATTTTGATGAAAACGCTAAATCACAGAAAAAAATAGACGATAACATCTGAAAGTGCCTCGAGCGGGTAAAATACGAGTAAACGCTGTCAGATTTAATGCATCGTATTCTGCTAGTCACGAGTGGCATTATCTTGAATGAACAGTTACAAAAAACTTGGACTTATATTACTGACTCTTCAACAGGCCAGGTAAATATCTTTTTCAGAGATTGTCATGGAGCACCTTTAGAAGTTAAATTACTTTTTTCGAAGAAAAAAGTTTTGTTTGAATTATTTTTTTTTTTTCTGCAGGCATCCATACTTTCTTAACCATTTTTTTTTCTTTTTTTGGGATGTTTAGTTTTTCACCTGCAATTTTATCATTAATTACTATTCAAATACGCAAAATAATCTGTATACACATTTTAAACAGTATGCCACTGATGGCACGGGCATCAAGAGACCGACAAAAAGATAAAGTTTTTATCACAACCGTAAATGTTTTCTCAATGGAGCTGATCAAACTAACCACTTGCACGTTGATACTGACCATTCAGGAACGTTCCTTTAAAAGGTTTTTTATGTAAAAACTCTGCTTCCGTCAACCATTTAGCGTTAATTCTTCAAAATATAAAGGTGAACCATCCCACCGACAATTTATATCTTTAGCCGAAAATACTTTTTTGAAGTTTCTCTCATTTGGAAAAAATTTTATTTATATTTTTTTGGCGCTAATCTAGGTTTCTGGTACAGTGCAAAAGAACGATCATTGACGACATTGGTGAAACGTGGAAAGTTTGCGTCCCGGCTTTGATCTATACAGTTCAGAACAATCTTTACTACATTGCACTCTCAAATTTAGAGGCCACCACTTTTTGCGTTTGTTTTTTCAAAATCTCTGCTTTTTTTTCTTCCATCTGCTCATGTGCTTCCCATCTTTCTTTTGTATCGGAAGCGAAACAACAGTTTTTGCCTCAGCACTAAAGAGTTAATAACTAAAACTAAGTAAGTAACAAAAAAGTAGATGCAGCATAAAAGCATTTAAGGAAAAGATCGATGATAAATTTTTCTAGACCTATTACTTCAAAATTACTTAAAAAAGAGATCAATTTTCAAGACATTCTTATAAGATCCATGCAGTAAAGGTCTCCTAAATATACAGTGCGCTATCTTATGCGAACAGGACGCTTTTTTCAACTTCTATCTCAGATTTTCTTCTGAAATTCGCTAGATGAAAGATCTATTTCCTGATGAGAAACTGAAAAAGAGCACTTTATCAGCTCCTCTTGGTAGAGACAGAACTCCTCTCAAAGTTGTAAAAAAGCACATTTTTCGATTAAACATGGCCAACTTTAAAAGATTGTTGCTTACTTCATTTCTAGTACAATTAAGTGCTTTCAAAACCATTTCAAATTACATTTTTTTACTCCTTGAACCTTTCTGAAATTTTGTTTTCTTTCCCCAAGTTATAGAAATAATGGGAAGTTTACGTTAAATGGGCTGGAAAGAACTGCGCTCTTGTTTTATCTTTTTAAGGAAAGTATTACGTGTAATGTATTTGTCGCAGTAAAGAACAATAGAATTTAAGACGGGGTAACGATGATTAAGTGAATCATTAAAAGAAGATTGAGGTAAAGGAGCGAAATGCACTTAACAAAGAACTTCTACTTCTGTGCCATTGAGAAATCAAGTCGCCATTCTGGATTACTGCGGTTGGGAAGGGTCAATTTCAAAACTACAGGTAGCGCTCGCTGTAAAGCTGCTAATTTGCATGCAGGAATGGCAAAATGACCCTATACTTTAGTAAAATTTAAAAAATGAAACCTATCAAATTTTCTAGTATTTCTGTAATCGGTGAAGGAATTTAGAATCTTGAGAAGTCTTAGAAAGTAAAACAGATGAGCCTAAAATTATCAAGATTTTCTAAAGGACTTAACAGGATAAAATCTATCAATTACGTTTCTATCCAAAAAATGAGGATTTTTCTGCAACGTTGAGACAGGGTAAATTTTCATTAAACGATTTTAGCAGAATGGTAATCTTCTTAGTTCAAACATCGGCACTAAAACCTATAATTCGGCAAAATTTGAAAAGAATTTGAGACGTCATTGAAAAAGTTGTTGATTTGACGTGTAGTGCTCCAATTTACTATGTCATTTTACGGTCACTTGTCTGTTTAGCTAACGTATCAGCTGAAAACCTTTTCCACCGCTATCCTTTTACGAGTGATGTTGAAGAAAAGACTATCTGGTGTCCAGTGGTTTGCCCTGTTCCTTCTTGCTGTCGGAGTTTCTGATGTTCAGCTACAGTATCAACCACCAAAAACTGTGCATAATACGGAGCAAAGCCCTACTGTCGGTTTTCTTGCCGTTTTGACGATGTGTCTTACGTCCGCTTTCGCAGGTTTCTTATATTTCTTCTGCCGTTAATCAACGGGTAAAGTATGGTTGACTTGATATAAGCCTTTTCAACATTTAAAAACTTGTTGTATATTGTATTAAAAGCCTCTGACTTCTATACTGACTTCTATACGCGACAACTGGTATTTCCTCAAACTTGCATAAGTAGTAAGACTCGAACATCGACAGTAAGATAGAAGAGTTTATGTGAGAAATTAAATTTATTGCTAAATTAGATGGAGATAAAGTGCACAGAGAGGCATAATTTTTGAGTAGACAGTCGTTTATGTTACTCGTGTCAGTATTAATCTGCTTTAGAATTGTTTTAATTTGTGTAATAGTAATCTTATTCCGCTGACCAAAGAGTCAGTCGTTGACGTTTAGCTAAGCCTAAAAACAGTCTGAATTTAAAATTTTGTAAGAATGGTTATATTCAGATGCCTGCTGAAAACGCAGTGATCCTGATAAATTATGGTACAAAACGCAAAACAAGCTTTAAAATTCTTTCATAATTACTACTTTGGCATGCGGTTAACACTTTTCATTCTTCCAAATAATCAACTCCGAAGGTGACGTAAAAATCAAAAATTTTTTTAGTTTTGTCTCTATCTTTTTCTAAATTTATGTCGTCGTGAAAATTGCCGTTCTGCTGCTTGATTACATTATGCAGTGCAAAGTTCTATGAAATTATTGCTTTTTACTTCCTTTACTTTTTATTTTTTCGCTACTTTTTGGTATAACTACTAAAATTTTTCTGTGACTTAAGTTTACAAAGAAAATCTTTGGTAACCGATTAAACAAGCTACTTTTTACTTATTTAACGTGGTCTAACCTTAAGGCTGATAAACCAGAAGTTTCTTTGCTTTACTAGCTAAGTACCGAACCCTGCTTATTTTATATATCTAAAGTAGCCCGAATTATGAAACAAAATTACTTTTTTTTCTTTTCTTTTTTCGAGTTAAAATGAATTTTCTGTAATTAACTGTAGTTCTGTGAATTTATATTTTTAAAGAGCATTGTAAAATTTCAAACTTTTTCAGTTTGGTGGCTCTGCCTTTGTAGAGAAAAATAGGGCGATTTTTAATACCAATTCTTCTTTCTTTTTCTCTGATCTGCCCGCAGTGACTAACTTCAGTTATGCAGCCAACTGAATTGGCCGCATGGGTCTTGCAACAAGTGGCGATGAGCTATAATTTATTCGTTACCTCTACCATGGATAATTAAACCTGCAGTGAACATGCTAAGCAACAACAGTCGAGAAAAACATAAAGCAAAAACAACAATACTGGTTATATAGAACACAGAAACAAGAATAATAATTAAGAGTCAACGAGATATGGAAGGTTGATATATGTATCACTTCTTCGCAAACCAAATGTTTTTACAGCGCCTGTCCTTACTTGATCATTTTTGCCTCTCTTCCTGTCTTTAATCTTCTTGATCCATGATCAAAAAGCTGCTGGTGAGCCTTCTTTCATGTTCTTCTGAACCTCTTGATTAAGACTGTCCTCTCATTGCTGCGGGTGTGCAGCAATGATAAACTTTTATGGCAGAGTTATGAGAGCTCGCTCGTTCTCACCTGCTTTTCAGCTAAAATCTCCCTTATTGGCTGTAATGAGACACAGACACATTTATTACGATTAGAATTTGATGGTTTTATTGGCTGTGGGACACCAAACTGAAAAAGCTCAAAATTTTTGAATTCCAATGTTTCTTTAAGTTTCTTTTCTGGTGTCAAATTTTTGTTTCTTTTTCACCTAAAGTTTCATTCTCTGCCACTAAAGTTTCGTGGAGGGACTGTTTAGCATGTTTAATGAAGTTAAATCTGTTGATTGTATTTTAGGCGTTTACTTGGAAAAAGTTTTAAAACAAAGTGACGTTAACATTTGGATGCAAAACATAAGGCTTGCCGTGCTTGGAATACCAATTAGTGCACTTTCAATGCTTAAAAATTATGATTCAATAATGGACGGTTGTTATATAATATTTACTTTTTTAATTTTTTGTTAGTCCTACTCAGTTTTGTTTATTACGTTAGAGACGGAACGTTATGGTTATTAAATTGGCTAATCATTCGTCTCTTTCAGATGGAATGTTTAGGGGTTTTGACTGCCTTGTTTGGATTATGACGATTACAAATTCAATCGGAGGATTACTGATTTCCATTGTCATCAAATACGCCGACAACATTCTCAAAGCTTTTGCTCAGGTAAAGAGGCACATAAAGAATTTAGTAAAAAATGATGTTACTTCATGCCATTTCTTTGGAATTTCTAGAGTTTGAAGCTTTGTTTTATTACTACAGGGGTTTGGAGATGGTAGTCAAAAAGCCAACAAGCCTATTAAAGTAAAATGAAACTCTTTTTAATGTATGTTCTTCTGATTTTTGAGGTTATGATCGAAATGAAAGTTTTTGGTTTTGGAATTTCTGGTCGTTTAACTGAGTCACTAGTTTTTTAGCATACAGAATAACTCAAGCTGTGCAGAACCACATATTCATTTGTGGCCTTGCATGATGAAAGCTTAATAGGAAAACATACAGGTTTTGTCTCAGTCAAAAAAAATCTCATGTCCAAATTTTATTTTTCAAATGATTTCAGAGAGAAGTTCAAATTACAAAATTTTGCCCATTTTGAGTACTTTTCTGTTCTAGTTTTGCTCATAAGCAAAAACTTAGTTTTAGAGTCAATTTTAAAAGCTACGCCCATATTTTTAACTAATTTGAAAAAAAAAAACTGAGTAAAAAGTCCAAATAAAGAGAAAATTTTGCGAACTTTATCTGCTGTAAAAGGCGCAATTGTTCATTGCCAGAAGAATTACTTTATCGCAAGATAGATGAGTTGCAAGAAAGAAAGTGATAAAAGGATTAATTTAGAAGGATTTACCTATAGATGTAGTCCTGAAAATCTTGGAAAGCTTATTTTCAAAGGATATAATGCAGGCAGCTGCTTGTTCAAAAGACTTAGGTATTTATATGAATGCGAATGAAGGAATCAAAAATAAACTGGGACTACTAAATGCCTGCTGGTGAGTTGTCCGACCGAACAGATGCAGTGTCGACTGGGTGAAAATGAAAATTTATTTTAACAGATTTTTTAAAATATTTTTAGCTATTATAATGATTCTAAGCAGTCAAAAATAAAGAGAACCTGTCTGTTTCAAAACCGCTATGATACTAAGAAACAAAGGGCAGTCTTTCAGTCCCGCACTTTCTGAGTGCAGTAGGAAACTGTATCTTTCAAAAAAGCACCACTCAACTGGCTTGTTCTTCTTAACAAGCTTTCACAAAATAATAATTAGTTGACGGATCTCTGCTTGAAAGTCACCTTGCCAGCGTGTTCCATACTTAAAATTAATAGAACGTTGTTATTATATTCCAATGTGACCTTATCTAATAAAGATCAATTTATACACCTGTAAAAATAAGTTATGCTAAACGACTGTCCATGGAAGAAGGGTAAAAAAGACAGAAAAGATCCAAATTTAGAAACTTAGGTTGCTTCGTAAACTCATAAAGTACACTTTCTATATGTTCAGGATGTGTAGCTTTTGTTGGAAAATCCTTTACAGGGGTCATCGCTACTGATATAGCATCTTACTGATGCCTAAGGTATATCATTAGCAATAAACCCCAAAAACGGATGTAAAAAATTCTAACTGCCAGGTTTTGTGACCGCACGATTTAACGTTGATTAAACCTGCTTACATCAATTACGTAACGAAGTACTGCAGTAATCTTTTACCTTTTTAATACCGGTTTTCCAAATGATGAATACAGCAAAACTACTGCACAAACAGTATTTGGATACAGTATATATATATATATATAT